AAAAAAAAAAAAAAAAAAAAAAAAAAAAAAAACAAATAATAAAATGAGAGAAGCATCTATGATAAGGAAATTTTTTTAGCATGAAAAGAAAGCTATTCTAGTTTCTGTCTTTCTCAAACAGTAAATACCGATTACTAACTTGTCACATTTGGAACACCAGGTTTTCTTAACAACTGCAGCTTTTGTTTCATGATTTTCTTTGATAGTAGCAATCCAGCACAGAATCTTTGGGAACCTAATCGGCTTCACATCGCCAAAGTAATAAACTAAAAAATGATAGTATCCAAACAGTTTTGTGCTCTTTTCAACTATAAGTTTTTCAGTGTAAAATAAAAAAAAATTGTTTATTTATTACAATTTTCACTAAAAGAATTGTGTTATTCTCTTTTTGATCGAAATTTTTTCAACATATTTTGGTAAAACTGGTAACTAAGATCAGTTTTTTAAGCAGTAGTCGTTTTTGTTAATCGTTCAAATTAGTAAAGGTAAACGCATTATAAAAAAATGTAAAAATAAACACCAAAAAACTCCTACTTTTTAAAGTTTCAGTTAAGGCAGTTTTTAAAAAGAATGTTCCTGTTGCAGCACAAAGAGCCAGAAATATTACTTTTGCCAAAAATAAGTTGACAAAAAATTGGTTTTCTGCCATGTAGAATGCCAACTTTCGTTGTATGTTGCCTTCTTCTGCAAGAATAGAGGATCAATTAGTGTAAAAATAAGTGTGTTTTATTGACATTTATAATATACTCTAATTTAACTTTTTTATCAAAAAAGTGTATAAACATCACCGTTTGATAAGGCTGAATTTAACATCAATTTGTTAACAGAAAGTTTGATTCAACTTATCGCTTCAAAAAATTCTATTGTTTTATAATATATCGCAGTCTGCTTGAAGTCACAATCCGGTTTTAGATGCGTCTAAAAAAGAAAATTATAACTTTAAAACACAACTTCATTACTTACAATAAAGTGAAAAATTTAATATCTAATTGCAGCTCATAAAAATAAGACGTTGAAAGAGACTGAAAAAAAAAAAAAAAAACGCTATCAGGTTTTTATAACACCTGTAGTTTTTGATGGTTGAATAAAGTATAAAGCAATTAATAACACATACAAGACGGATGCTATGCAAAACTTACCAAAATTTTTGTTGGCAATTGATTGATGTTTTACAATCAAAATAGAAAGTTTAGCTTTAAAAGGCTAAATGCATTGCCAATTATAAAGTAAAAATTGGCTTTGCACTAAAAACAGCTAATTTGTTCCTAAAGATGCAGTAGTTTGACTGCTATGTAAAACTATAGTGAAAAAACAAAAGAATAACTGTTTTTAGTGCACACCTCATTATATGCCCTCATTTCATACCAAGTGGCATCTGTTGTAAAGCAACAAGGAATGTTGTTATTGCACATACTAAGAATAATAGGAATCTTTTAGAATACACAAGTAAAACAATAAACCTTTTGTAGTTCCCAGACGGTTGGTCGAAATGACATTATCGGAAATAGAATATGTTAATCATTTACCTTATAATTTATCATTCGACAAATGCCTATGTAAGGAAGCTGTTGAAACGTTCCTACAGATACATTAATAGAAACATCTATTGTGTATTTTGCCTTAAATGGAACGTCAGTGGCAGCAATAATGATTGATGGCTTATTGCTTTCTTATGCTAATGACCCGTATACTTACAGTGGTATAGGCGGATCCAATCCTAATTTCCACTGGGCGGGAAAACGGTTTTGGCTG